TGAATAGGCAATGTTCCCAAAGGCTCATGTGTTGAACACCTGATCCCTAGTTGGATAAGCCATCGGGGAGGCTCTGAAAATGTTATAAAATTTTAGGGCATAGTTGGAAGAAGTATCAGTAGGGGCATCTTTGAAGGCCATACCCAGTCCCTAGTTCCTTTGCTCTGCTTCCTGTCTGCCATGAGCAAACAGCCTCCCCTTCCATATCCTGTTCTGCCTCAGCACAGGCTCAGAACTAAAGGAGCTGAGGACCAGAAGCCGCAACCTCTGAAACCATGAGCAAAACAAACTCCTTACTGGTTTTTGTCAGTTATTTTTGCCACCATCATGAGGAAAGTAACTATGACGTCAATCTTACACCATTGTCACACAGACCCACTTAGTGTTGCCTTCCAGGGTCTTAGAGTCAGGAAGGAAAAGTCTTCCAACTGTCTTCTTGTTTCCAAGAGTATTTTGGCTGTAATTGGCTCTTTGGGTTTCCATATGAACTTCAGGGTTAGCCTATCAATGTCTGCAGAAAAGACAGCCAGGATTCTGGCAGGATGTGAAATCAACAGTTTGGGAATTACTGTTACCATAGAAACAGCAGGTTGTTGCATCACTGACCAGAAGATGTATTTCTACCCATTCATATCTTTAAAACTTGGCATTATTTTATAGATGGTATGATCCACAGTCGTTCTTATTTTTTTAAGTTTTCCTTCTTATTTTTATTTTATGGTGTCTTGCCTGCGTGTTTGTGCACCATGTACATGCAGTGCCCATGGAAGCCAGAAGGTGGCATTAGATTCCCCTGGAACTGGAGTTACAGGTGGAGTGAGCCTCCATGTGGGCGCTGGGGAGTAAACCTAGGTTCCTGGAAGCACAGCCAGTGCTCTTAACTGCTGAGGCTACCCGCCAGTCATACTGTTTTATGTTTAAGCCACGTGATATTTTATTTTTGAGACAGAGTCTCACTATGTAGCCCTGGCTGGCCTGGAACACACTACGCAGACCAGGCTGAAACTCAAGAGATCTGCCCGCCTCTGCCTCCAGAATGATGGAATAGAAGACCTGTGCTCCCATACCTAACGCTGAGGATTGTAATTTTTCTTATAACCTATCTCTTAATTTCTTTTTTTCCTTAAAAATGTTAGAAATGCAATTCTATTGACTATGATCCTGCAGCAGCGCTGGACTGTGTTGCTAACTGTGTGGTATGTCATGGGGGGGGGGGCGTTTTGCTTTGTTTGACAGCAGGAGAAGGGCTCCCTCTAAACATCTCCTTCTAAAATTCAACAGAACTGCTTTTATAGCTTTAAATGAGGAACATAAATTCAAATCCCATTCAAAATGTCTATAAGATAAAGATCACAGTGTCAATTTTTTTTCAGCTCAAGAATAAGAAGGCTCTGCTCGGTGTCAGGGGATCTGTCAGCAGGTACCAGGCTAAAGCTTCCATTTCAAGTACTACCAAAAATCAGGGCTGGGGATAAGGCTCGGTGATAGACCAGTTGCTTAGCATGCATGAGGCCCTAGATTCAGATTCAAGCACTGGAAAAAAAATTACCTTACCAGATAGACATGTAGTCCTAGGCCTTGGGAAGTGGAGAATTAAAAGGATCAAGAATGGAAGGTCATCCCTAACTACAGAACAAGTTTGAGACCAGCTTGGGCTACATGAGAACCTGTGCCAAAGGTGGGGCCGCTGAGGGCATATAGGTCCCTGCAGTCTGAATCACACGGCTGGGGGAGGCGCAGAGACAGGAGGATCCAGGGGGCTTGCTAGCCACCCCGTCTAACCAATCAGTGAGTTTCCAGTTCAGTGAGAGATCCTGTCTCAAAAACTAAAATGTGGGACTATGGAGCTGGCTCAGGGGGTAAGGGCTCTTACCGCCAAGGCTGACAACCTGAATTTGAGACCTGGAATCCGGATAATGGCAGGGGAGAACGGACTCCTGCAAGATGTCCTCTGGTCTCCACAAGTGCTCCATGTCTGTCTGTCTGTCTGTCTGTCTGTCTGTCTGTCTGTCTCTCTCTCTCTCTCTCTCTCTTTCACACACACACACACACACACACAAATTTCAATAAGAAATAAGGTGTAGAAGAAGCAAATGAGGAAGACACCTAAGGTCAACCTCTGGCCTCTACATACACACACATGTACATGTACTCACACACATGAGCACAAACAAGTCCAGGTATGGTGCATAAGCTTGTAATCCCAAAGCAGGTGAGAGGAGCCACGTGGCTCCCTGGGACTCTATGGGATCCTAGCCTGATTGGTGAGTTTCAGATCAATGAGAAACCCGTCTCAAAATAGGGTGGATAGGTGGTGTGGAATATTAGTTGAATATATGTTATATTCATTTATGCTGTGGAACATTTGTTTAATGATGCAAAGATGTGTATTGCATTCTTTTATGTTGCATTTTTTTAACTCTGTAAAGATGTGTTACTTTGCCTGTCTAAAACACCTAGTAAAGAGCTGAACAGTCCCTATGGAAATTCAAACCTGATGCTGGAATGTCAAAATGTTGTTGGTTGTTTATACTCTTTACTCTTTGGAAGGCCCAAACAAACACACAGAGACTTATTTTTTCTTATGAATGCCCAGCCTTAACTTGGCTTCTTTCTAGCCAGTTTTCCTTAAATTATCCCGTCTATCTGTTGCCTCTGGGATTTTACCTTTCTCTATACCTTTCTTTACTTCTTATTCCATGACTTGCTGTGTGACTGGGTGACTGACCCCTGATTCCACCTCTCCTTCTCCTTTCCTTGCTCCTCCATCTTCTCTTCCCAGATTTTCCTTCTATTTATTCTCTCTGCCCCCCAGTCCCGCCTATCCTTTCTCCTGCCTAGCTATTGGCCATTCAACCCTTCATTAGACCAATCAGGTGTTTTAGCAGTCAAGTGACACAGCTTCACAGAGTTAAACAAATGCAACAAAAAGAATGCCACACATTTTAGCATCATTAAAACAAATGTTCCACAGCATAAACGAATGTAGCACATCTTCCACTAATATCCCACAACAGATAGTTTCCTGAGGAACAACACCAGAGGTTTCCTCTGGCCCCCATATGCACTTGCACACACATGTGAACACAGACACAGGGTGGGGGGTAATTGCACATTACTCAGGATCCATTCAGGAAAGAGGCGGGAGAAACTCTAATACAATGAATTGCTGACTTCAGCGGGCTGGAGTGATGGAGGAATGGCTAGTAAGAGTAAGTCCTCTGAAGATGACAGAAAGAGTAGGTGGTAAATGGAGACACCTCTGCACCTATAGCTGAGACAGCCTAAGAAACAGTGCTCCAAGACTAAGACCTCAAAGCCGACTCAGGCCACAACTCATCAGATGGTGAAGTTGCCTGAGGTTTTTACATCTCCTGGGGGAAGGTGCTTAGGGCAGCTGCTCACCAGGCCCCGGCAAAGGGGAGTACCGCAGAAGCCTTACTTAGATAGCAAAGCAGGATGAACCAAAAGTCCGCTTTTCTATTCCGGTGTTCCTACAGCGCCCTCTACTGACAGAGTTGAATATCAGGCCCTGCAGGCAAATGATTTTTTTCTAATAAAACAACAGATTTAGAGTTATATATAAGAGATTAACAATGGGTATGTATATGATATACAGAATATGCTAATGCCTGAGAAAATGACACAAAATGACCACCAAGGCATATTTTGGGACATTTACTGGGTGAGAGGGAACCTCAACTGAGAAAATGCCTCCATAAGATCCAGCTGTAGGACATTTTCTTTATTAGTGATTAATGAAGGAGGACCCAGCCCATTGTGGGTGGAGCCATCCCTTGGCTGGTGGTCCTGGGTTCTACAAAAAAGCAGGCCGAACAAGCCAGGGGAAGCAAGCCAGCAAGCGGTACCCCTCCCTGGCCTCTGCATTAGTTCCTGCCTCCAGGTTCCTGTCCTGGTTTCCTCCCATGATGGACAGTACTGTGGAAGTGTAAGGTGAACAAGCCCCTTCCTCCCCAAGTTTCTTTGGTCATGGTATTTCATCACAGCAACAGGAGCCCTGTCTAAGACAGCAGGGAAGACACTTAGCACTTAGAATTTCTTGGTATCACCAGAGCCTAGAAGGTCACTAGGCCAGCCATAGTACAAGTCATACCAAGTCCCTTGCCCAAAGCTCTGGCCGGGCTGCTGGGAAGTAAACAGGCATGTGTCAGGAGTCACTCAAGTCTAGAAGATGGAAATACACACTCACACACCATGCTCTGCATCATCCTGGGACTTGGGCAGGACCATGGTGATGGAGAAGTGACTTCCAGCTGAGGGATCTCTATGGACAGAATTCATTTCTTTCTCTGGCATCCACAGGCTTGGCCTTTCTTTTTTCAAGTGTGTGTGTGTGTGTGTGTGTGTGTGTGTGTGTGTGTGTGCCACTGTATGCATATGGAGATCAGAGGACCATGTGGTTCTCTCCTTCTACGGTGGGGCTCAGGAGCAAACTAAGGCTGTCTGACTTGGTAGCAAGTGCTTCTACCTGCTGAGCCATCTCACTGGTCCCTTGACCTTTCAAAATCATCACTGTGGCCCTAAACCACAACATAGACTCCGATTCAGAGGATTTAAGCACTTACTCTGGATTTCTAAATCCAAGCCCAAGATTTACCCAGAATACACTGCTAAACCTCAGATTTCAGCCCATGCCATTATGGTGCGCTGCTGTCCTCTGCTGGCCATTTGTAGTACTTCAGACAGCATTTTAAAAATAACCCTAATGGCAAAATGAGTAAGAGAACAAGTCAACAAGAAGAAATGCAATGGGGATACACACACACACACACACATACACACATATATTTAAAGTTAATACTCCTGGGGGCTGGAGAGATGGCTCAGAGGTTAAGAGCATTGCCTACTCTTCCAAAGGTCCTGAGTTCAATTCCCAGCAACCACATGGTGGCTCATAACCATCTGTAATGGGATCTGGTTCCCTCTTCTGGCCTGAAGGCATACACACAGGCAGAATATTGTATACATAATAAATAAATAATTAATTTTTCCTGGTTGTGGCCATGAATCTCCAACTGCATGCCAGAGCAACCGGAGAGACTTTGACACCCCAGGTCAGCACAGTGCCTACAGTTGCCACTTGCCCTTCCTCAGCAGGACTGGGGCTAGGAGCCTTCACCTGAGTCACATGCTCTGCCTACCAAGCTCTCGTTCTGCAGGTTGCCCCGAAGTTTCTGTCTCTGCTCATTAGAGCTATGTCACCAGTAAAGGGGCCTGCAGCACGAATAATAAAAACCCAGAGACAGATATCGGGGTTCAAGATGAAGATCAGAAAAGCAAAGCAGCCAAGCACTAGAGAGACCTTTTACTGCTACCAAATCTTCAGACTGAAAGGGAGAGATCCTGTCTCCATGAATCCTCAGACTCCACACTCCACTGAGTTCCTGTCTCTTCCCCTTTATATTCCTGTCTGCCCAGCCATATCACTCCTGTCTCCACCTTCTTGGTGCTGGGAGTAAAACTGTGTGACTCCCAAGCACTGGGATTAAAGATGTGAACCATCACACCACCTGGATCTGTTTCTGGATCCATCTTGTGTAGCCCAGGGTGGCCTTGGTCTGTCTCCCTGGGATTAAAGGTGTGTGCCACCACTCCCTGGCCTGTATATGACTGCTCTGCCCTCTGATCTTTAGGCAAGCTTTATTTATTAAAACACAAATAATATAGCACTGTAGGGGTCTCATCTATGATTCGGTCCACAGCTGGGGAAATGTCATGGAAAAGAAATGGAAGGCAAAGGGGACAGCTGTGAATGCAGAAACTTTTGACCAACGTTGTATGTAAACACATGTAACTGGATCAATAAAGGTTTTAAAAAAAAAGATGCCGATATTCATTAAAATTCAAGAACTGCAAACTGAAACTCCAAGAGAAGCTCGGTCAGACGGTGCTTGCGTCAGGGCTCTTTAGAGAGAGCTGATGGAATGACTCTATATATACAAAGGGTGACTCACAGGCTGTGGTCCAGGTAGTCCAACAATAGCGCTCTACCAACAGAAGGCCCAAGAACCCAGCAGCTGTTCAGTCCTCAAGGCTAGATGTCTCAGCTGGTCTTCAGCCTACACCAGAATCCCGAACAAGTAGGCTTAATGCCAATGAAGGAACAGATTTGCCAGCAAGAGCAAGTAGTAACAGCAAGCTTCCTTCTTCCGTGTCCTTTAAATAGGCTACCAGCAGAAGGTGTGGCCCTGACGAAAGGTGGATCCTCCACCTCAAAAGATATGGATTAAAGGTAGTTCTTCTGACTTTGAATGATTTAATTTTAAAAAAATCCCTCCCAGGTGCACCCAGCCCTTTGGTTTTAGTTAATTCCAGATGTAGTCACGCTGACACCAGGAACACCCGTCACAGATGACAATGTCTAGGTACCAGTGGTCTTAAAATCCCAACTACTCTAAAACCTCAACCAATCCACTTACAGAATTTTCCTTAATGAAATGATCAGAGGGCTGGTGAGGGTTTCAGTAAGAACACTGGCTGCTCTTCCAGTGGACCCAGACTGGGCTCCCAGCACCCACACGGTGGCTCACAACCATCTCTAACTCCAGTCCCAGGGGATCTGCTGCCCTTTCCTGGCCTTGGCAACCAAGGACACACATGGTGCACAGACATACAAGTCAACAAAGTACCCACATACATAAAATAATTTTTTAGAAGAATCTTGCAGTGATAAAAACATTCCGTATCTTAACTGTGATTGTGGGCACCTGAGCCTACAGAGGTGAAAATGTTACTGTCCGGGGTCTTAAACCAGGTTCGCTTTCTCTGCAGATTAAAGGCAGGAAAAATCTCCAGTGCTACAGGTATCAGTGAGGAAATCTCAAACACAGCAAACTGGAGCAGCCAGAATCAGCAGCTAAAAAAAGGCTAGTTTTGTGGTGAGGGCGCGTGCGCGTCCTGATCCAGCCTTGAACTTGTTGAGCCAGTCCATCAGCAGGGGCCCTCCTGCCGGGGGCGGGGGGAGCCCACAAAATCTTTGTTTTAAGCTGCCAGGCTTTTGTCTCAAGTCAGGAGGGTGAAGAAGATGCCAGCCATCTTGGAAGTTAGCCATCTTTATTATGTAGTTGTACCAGTTAGTCTTTATGTCAATCTGAAACAGCTAGAATCATTTGAGAGAAGAGAGACTTAGTTATGAAAATGCTTCTATAAGTTCTAGCTGTCAGCAAGCCTATAGGGTATTTTCTTTACTAGTGATTTCGGGGGCGGGTCCAGCCCATTGTGGGTAGGCGATCCCTGGGCTGGTGGTCCTGGATGCTATCAGAAAGAATGCTGAGCAAGCTATGAGAAGCAAGGCCATAAACAGCACTCCTTTCTGGCCTCTTCATCAGCTTTGCCTCCAGGTAGGTTCCTGCCCTGTCTGAGTTTCTGGCCTGACTTCTGATGATAAACAGTGATGTGTTAGTGTGAGCCAAATAAACCCTTCCCTTCCCAAGCTACTGTTAGCTACTGTATTTCATCACAGTCATGGAAACCCTAACTAAGACAGAATTGGTATCAGGATAATGGGGTGCTGCTCTGTCAGACCTGACCATGTTTTTTGAGGAAGATTGTGGAAGGACTTTGGAACTTTGGGCTGGAAAAGCCACAAGTACTCAAAGCTTGGTGAGCCTTTCTGTGGGAGCCTGGAGAACAGGAGTTGTGAAAACGCGGGGATGAGGCCTGGCTTGTGAAGCTTCAGAGGGAAGCAAATACTCCAGCAGGCTATTTGTGTGAAGAATCCGTGGTGTCTGATGAGCTGGAACTGAAGAGTCAGATGTGATTAACGAGAGACCAGCATCATGGAAGTGAAACCTTTGCTTCACGGGGACAACCCATGCCAGTCAGCTGGAGCTGAGAAGTTAGCAGTGATTAAGAGACCAGCATCGCTGGGGTGAAATCTGGGAAGTTTCCTCAGTGTCAATGCACAGAAACTGTGTCCCAGAGGTGGCCAAGATTGTGCCTTGAGCTGGCAGCCAAATCTGGTGATGTTTAAGCCTCCCAGGTGGTATTTGTTTTGAAGGCATGAATGAAGAGATCACCATGAGAGCCCAGGATAGACCATTGGTGAGCTGCTGTCTCAGCACCGTTTTCTTAGTTAGTGACGATATCGGAGGGCCCAGTCAATTGTGAGTGGGACCACTCTGGAGTAAAAGTGGTGCTGGGTTCTATAAGAAAGCAAGCTATGCAAGCCATGAGGAGCAAGCCTGTAAACACACCCCTCTATCAACTCCGCTTCAATTCTTGCCCCCAGGTCCCAGCCCTGCCTTCTTTCAATGATCAACTGTGATGTGGAAGTGTGGGCCAAATAAACCCTTTCTTCCCCAAGCTGCTTTTGGTCATGGTGTTTCATCACAGTAATAAAAGATTTTATATTTATAGGTTTAACTATGTGTATCTATGTGTGGGTTTGTGCACGTGAACGCGGTGCCTATGGAGGCCCATAGACAATGTCAGATCTCCAGAGTCAGGCAGTGGCAGCCATCTGACCTGAGTGCTGGGAACTCAACTCGGACCCTCTCCAAGAGCAGAATACGCTCTTAGCTGCCATCTCTTTAGTCCTAAACTCAGTGTGTAACTGGAAGACAAACCAGCGTCTGGGAGTGTCCAATAACTTGCATACAATTTTAAACTACAACATGGAAGTGTGTTCACAAGAGAATGAAGAGAACTAAGAGCCTGGCTGACAACTCCTTAGCTCATCTACAATCCAGGCCTAAACCCAGGCCTTGACCCCACCCATTGACAGTTCCCCAGAGGCACAGCACAGAACTTCAAACCCTGCAGGAAAGTGGTTACAGACTGAGCCCAAGTCCCAGCTGGGGAGAAGTCCCCGCTTTGGCACACAGGGCACCACAGCCTGTGTCCTCATTAGTAAGCCGACAATTAACTCCCCACCCGAGTGCTGAGATGTGGCTCACTGTGTAGTGCTAGCTGCCCGACCTGAGAGAGCCTAAGTGGCCCCACTCGCTGCGAGGTGAGGCCCTGCTCAGTGTTTCCTGGCAAGGAATAGTGAATTATTGTAATCCCAGATAAGGCTATACCCCAAAGCTCCAGGGAACCACGGAAGCCACCCTCCCACCACCCCTGATCAGACTGCTTAGATTCAGGAAAGCCTTGTTTACCAGGCACCTCACAAGATCCTGGAGACATAGTTAGACACAGGGTACTGCGGACATAGACACAGAGCACAGTCCTGCTTTCCAAGCGCCAGATTCTGCAGGCGGACAAGTACTTCCCAAGAGGGTTGTCATAGTTAGGGTTTCTATTGCTGTGAAGAGACACCATGATCACTGCAACTCTTGTAAAGGAAAACAAACATTGGGGTGGCTCTCTTACAGTTCATGATCATCATGGTGGGACATGGTGGCGTGCAGGCAGACATGGTGCTGGAGAAGCAGCTGAGAGTCCTACATCTTTGCAGGCAACAGGAAGTGGCCTCAGTCTAGGCCATATCTTGAGCATATATGAGACCTCAAATCCTGCCCCACCATAACATACTTCCTCCAACAAGACCACACCTATTCCACAGGGCCACACCTCCTGATAGTGCCACTCTCTTTAGAGGCCACCTCTAGGGTCATGCAGGTAACAGGAGCAGAGCAAGGTGCACAGGAGGAGTAATTCTCAGGAAGGTTGGATTTGAGGCTGAGTGCTGGCCAGTTAAATTAGAAAGGATGAGCCAGGCAGAGCACGGCGCACCAAGTAAAGTGGTACAGATAGGGAAAGCATCTTCCAGGGGCTACAGCAACTCAGAGGGGAAGAGTTCGTGCTAAAAGCATCAGTCGTCCAGGACTAGGGCTCAGGACATCAGAAGCACATCAAGACCACTTTGGTGGGAAGATCTTTAGTATTTTTACTGAAAGGCAATGTACATTGGACTCAAATACACTGGGATTTTTGTCAAGGAAGCATTCTTTAAGTTTAGGTACCTGGCTTTATATAACTCTTTTCATATTTACTCAGGAACAAGTGGGGGTTACTGTCAAAGGTGTGTGTATGTGTGCACCACAAACATCAGAGGACAATTTCATGGAGTTGGTTCTCTCCTTCCACATTACCCGCATTCCAGGGATGGAATTTAGGTTACCAGGCCCACATAGTAAGTGCAATTGCCTGCT